AGGGAGGGGAAGGGGAGGAAGGATCACGAACGGCGCGGAGGAGCAGTCCCCGATGGAAAAATCCGGGCTGAGATTAAAACCATCTTTTTTTTTTTTTTTTTTTTTTTTTCCCCCCCCCCGGTGTGGCCCCTTCTTCTCACGTAGGTCCAGGGGTTTCTGCCCTCGGAAAAAGCCTGGTCCAACTCGAGGAGATCCGGGGACCCCCTCGGTCCATGCTGGCAGCCGTGGGGCAGCGATGAATCCTCGGGGATGGAGCTTCCCCTGCTCCCCGGCTTCTCCCTCTGCCCCTGCTCGGGGGGGGTTTAATCCCATGTACATCGTCGTGCACCCTCACTTTCAGCTGCAAAAGATCGAAACCTCTATCCCTAGGGAGAGGGACAGGGCATGGCCCTAAAAGCAAGGAGAGAGGGGAAAGGGGGGTCCCCAGTACCCCGAAAAAATAACTGCAAAGGGGAAGGGGGGAACCAGTCTGCTTTCACAGCTATTGCCACGCACGATGCTGGCGTGGCCCTGGGCTGCGTGTGCAGGTCAGTGTGGATCCAGGCTAAGAAGCATCCCAAAGGGAAAGAGTTTGGAAAAGGGAGGTGGGAAAATAATACAGAGACCCTTTGGGGTCCAGGAGCACCGGACAGGTGGAGAGACAGGCAGAAAGGGGAAAGACAGACGGACATGGCGATGAGGGATTACATCGGTCTGGAAAAGTCTGGGGTAAATACACTGAGGCTTGTGCCTATGTGCGTGCTAATAAATTATTCAGGTACGCGCATTTTTCGTCGTCGGTACACATGGTACAAACACACAGCCGCGTTTGTCACTCCTTTTTTTTCTCTGGTTTTCCCCCAAAGGCCTTGTCTGAGGGAAAGCTTTGCCAGAATTCCCCCAAAGGCAGCTTGAGCTCACGCGTTGTTTCCTTCGTGCAAAGAAATCGAGAGATTTCTGCCTTCCGACTATCAAATCGCAATAAAAATTCTCCTTCTGCCACGACTTGGGGCCACCAAAGCAACCACCCATCCGCCCACAGGAGTTGCGGCAGAGTTTGACACGCAGGGACAGAAATCGCGATAGAAAATAGGGATTAGAACTGATGATTGCAATGCTCGCCCAGGTGGGGAAAAGCCCCGTTTTTCTGGGGGGGCAGCTCTCCCCCCCCAAAAAATCCCCCACGGCTCCTTCCAGCTCCCTGCATCTGCAGGGGCTTTGCCCCGGGCTGTCTCGGTGAAATCCGCTCCCGCACCCCGTCCTCTCTCCCAGGGAGATAAATAAACCTCATCGCCAAGCTGCATCTTCGCTCCTCCGCCCTTCTCGTCCGCTAAAAATCCCGGAGTCTCACGGAAGCCGATGATTTTCTTTTTCTGGAGAAAAAAATTGAAATTAAAAAAAAAAAAAAAATCCCAGTGTTTTTAGCCTTCACCTTTCCGATTTCAAAGCTTCTTCCTTCCCTTTCCGTAGTTTAACGACTGCACTCCTTCTTTGATGCCCTTTTTATTCTCCCCAGCTCCTGCCCTCTCCCCATTTGCTTTGAACCAGCCCATAACTGGGGCGCTGGGACGCGGCGGCCGGCAGGGTGTTTGCCGACGGGGCCGCAGCTCCCCCGCGTCTCACCCTCTTTCCTTCACAGAAAGGTCGGGCTTAATCCGGAGGTCAAGGCCAAGTTGAAAGTTAAGAGCTTGTTGACTTCGGGGCTTCGCTGTGCCGCCGGCCGGCGGGGTTGTCCCGGTCCCGCCGCCCCCACGGAACCCCCACGGCCACGGGGAGAACTGGGGCCCCGCGGTGGTTTTTGCCGGGAGAAGCTCCCGAGATATCCCGGGTTGAGGCTGGAGCGGGATCCGCGGACAGAGCGACTCGCTGCAGACTTTCCTGGTAGTTTTTGTCACTTTATTTCCCTTTTTTTTTTAAAAAAAAATCCAAGCGGGGAAAAAAAAAAAAAGGAGTGGGATCCACCGGCAGAAGCTCCCGACCAGCCCAGCGTGCACAGACACCCCGATAAAAGAGGGTACGGAACCGCCGATGTTTGGAAATCGGATTTTATCCCCTTTCCCAAGGACTCCTCGGGCAGGCCGGTGAGTGGGGGCTCGGCCCCCCCCGCCGTCCCTCCGCCTCCCGGGGATGCTGCTCCGGCCGGAGCAGAGTCGGGGAGGAATTCACCTTTTTTTCATCCCCCTCCCCAAAAAACCTGCACTTGGGTTAATTTATTTGGAGGCATTACCCGTTTCCGAAATTGCAGCGTACCTCGTGCTTTTAAGACCGCGCTTCCCTTCGGTTCATCCTCTTTATAACGTGTTCGGAAATTTTCGAGTAGGCTTTGCAGTGGAAATAGTTTAAAATGCGGCTTCCAAACTGATATTAAGATTTCCGTTCTTTGACAATTTTACAGAGTAAATTTCAGTGTGATATTTAAGGTCACGATAAAGCAAGAGGAACGGCGTTATTTTAAAGGAAAAAAACCCACCCGGATTTCTTTTACTAGTTCCTCTCTCCTCTCCGTGATCGGGCTTAAAATTATCAAATGCACTTATTACTTTGCAACTATTCTTTTATCATATTCTCGATAGGATCCATTTAATATTTATACCATCTGGAATTCGAAAAAGCTGGGGAATAACTTTTTAACAGACTCTGATTTTTTAAAACCAATTGAATTCGAGGCCGTCATTACAAAATACAAGGAAAAAACCTCAAAACCAACCCAAACCCCAAAGCAGTTTGAAGGGGAAACAAAAATTGGAACTACTTAAAGACTTAACGTTTGGAAATAATCAATTGTTGGAAAATTGAGTTCTGGGTCTGGAAGGGAGCCCAGCTCTTTGGTTTCTGATTTTGGCAATATTTCTGGGAAGAAAAAAATCAAATAAAGGCAAACATTTTGATCTTTTATTTCTTTTTTTCTCCCTTCACCGCCGGCCCCTCCTCTCCCACCCCACAGGCATCCCCGGAAGCCCGGGGGATGTAGGTGCGAATATTTCTCTCCCTGATGCCTGGAGGGTCAGAATCTGTACTTTATAGCGGATTTCTCGTGGATCCTTTGAACAAATCAGCTGGCATGGGAACAGAGAGCATGGCTTGACTTCTCTTTGCTCTTTTTATCCCTGCTCTGCACTGACGCCCCAGCCCCGCAATCACTGCAGCGCACTTCTGATCCCCCCTCCCCCTTTTTGGGGTGAAATGTGGGGTGATTTCAAACTCGGGGTGTTTTGTTTAACCTGGTTCTCGACATCCTTTCACTTCCCAGGTTTCCTCTCCCCTCCCCAGGCTTGACTGGAGGCTCCTTCCTTGCTGTTAAGTTTCTTTATGATAAACCAGGAGGCCCGAGCTCCACCTCGGACTGCTGGTGTGTTGCTCCTGGGTTGTCCAACCTGAAATCTCCAGTTTGTGTCTCTCCCTCCTGTTTGCCAAAATGGAAAATGAAATGCCATGGTGGCTCCCCAAAGGCTGCAGCTGCCGGTGCCCCCCGCTCCCAGCCCCAAACCCATCCGCTCCCTCAGAAAATGCCCCTCTGTGAGCCCCCTTCCCACCTCCTGCATCCTCCCCTCCAGCCCCAGCCTCCCCCAGCCTGAGCTCCTTGGCCAGGGAGGCCAAAACCTCAAAGGAGACCAGCCCTGACCCTGCTCCTGCCTCCAGGAGGGGAAGAAGCGTGGTGGGAGTCTATACCGGCTTTGCCCACAGAGCAGAAGCCTGGGGGAAGTGGAGGGGATATGGCCTGGGTGCCCCTTAACGAAGCAAATGCTCCTGCCAGGGAGCAGAGAGAAAAAATACAAATATATTATACAATATGTTTGTGTTTTATCTCTCTGTCTGCTGCACATCCTCGACCTGGAAACAGCTACGTAAATGCAGCTGGGTGTCCCCGCTTGCTTTGGCTCTGTGTACAATCCAGCTCTTCAAACGCCCTTTCTTTAAATATGGCAAAATGTACATCTCCGCACACCCCCTCCACACACCCCTATACGTGCATCGTGCGCTGTGGCTGTGCATCCCATCCATCCCACCCAGCCGGAGACGCCCTTTCGCCTGAGCACGTTTCCCTGTCGGCACCGAGCCCGGCAACATGCGCCCATCGCTGCACGCACCCGGGACTAACTCTGTGTTCCCCAAGTTCCTGCTCAGCTAAAGCAATTTATTTCAGCTGTTGTGGGAGAAAAGGGGAGTTGCTTTGTACTTGGCTTCTAAGCCCTGCTTCTGATGTTTAATTTGGTAGGAGCCGTCGGGATCCTTTGCGCTTCCCTGCTGCTCCCTCCGCTGCTGGTGGGAGCCTGCAGCCGGGTGTGGGTCCCACAGGCAGCCTGCGAGGGGACATAGCTTGATGACACGCATGGAGGGCCTGGAGGTGAGCCACATTTTTGGTGGAATCAGGAAGATTTTGAAGGCCTATTCTCAAAAATGTGCTCTGCAGGAGGCGAATCTGGTCGTATCCAGCCAGGGCAGGAGCAGCTCTCCCGTACCAGGCATGTCACTGCAGGGTACCTGGCACATGAGGCAGCCTGGGGATGGGAACCAGAGGAATCCCCTTCCCTCATAGCATAAAATTATACGCAAACCTATAAGCTGGACCATGCCTTTGGTCCGGCA